TATCCAAGTCTTGATTTGCTTTTTATCTATAAGACATTAAAATTCACGTATATTTCTGTAAAGGATTTTATTTTCAAGTTCTCTGAAAAGCGTCCTTATGTTCGAAACATAAATCTTGGACTTCAACATCAATTGCCTTAAATCTTCATACCGTGGAGGTAATACACTGTTGTTTTGTCGTAGTTGCTGCTGCTACTGGCGTCTCAATGATCGTTGATATAGTCGATGACATGGAAGGTTGTGAAGACTGTTAAAACCTCCTAGGTTTTCACAAAAAGACTTCTGTTTCCTGTCTGGTAGTGATGACAGTAGTGAAGGAGGAGATAGTGACAAACATGCATGTGATGATCAGCAGTTGCAATAGCAGTGGTACTGTCACTCTTGGTAAAAATACCTTCTGCATGTGCACACCAACACAAGGTATTTTGTCTTTGTTTCAACCATGTGTACTGATCTTGCATTCTATTCTAAACTTGCGAATCATAAAAATCTCCATTCAAGGACCTCCAGTTGCTAGTCATAAACTCAAAGTATTTAAAAACATGGCCTATGTGTTCTAGACATTGAAGTCTCAAGTTTTTGGATAACTATAGTCCTGTACTTTCATTTTCACAAAATCTAAACATAGATTTCCCATAACATTATCTGTCATACCATTTGATCATAATTACTTCATTATTAACAGTACACCATCCATCAAAATATTATTTGTTATCTGTTTTGGTTGTGCTTAAAAGTATATGGGACCTTACTTTTACACCCTGCATGAGACCAGACACTACTGAGAAGTCAAATATGTGACAAGTCCTTAAGTACAAAAAATTAAATTATATATGTCTGTTTATGTAATTTGTTTTTAATAATGCAAATGAATGGACAAAACTTTCTCAAGTTTTGATGATAGGGTAGTGATAGTGGACAAAGCTAAAATTGAAGTATTTGCCAGACATATCTGGTAGATCAAAGATTTTGACAACTCTTACTCTAAGCAAGGAGACTCAAGTCATAGGAGTTCTCGAAACTCATCAGCTTGTCTTTTCCTTGTTTATGTGTGTGTTATTTGGATTTTTGAACATAACTTTAACAACTTTCAGTTAAATCATTACAAAGTAAGGCAGCTAATGGTGATGTCTAGCACTGGGGCATTATGCAGCAGACATGTTGCATCAACTCCACCCCAACCACTAGGTCCACCAGTCCTAACACTAACCTCTTAATGCTGAACGCTAAGTTAGATAGGTCCTAGTGCCATTATTTATTTTTAAAAGTGCTCAAAAAGAAACCCCCACCATATCGAAGTAACATTTAAAGGTCTCTGGGTCCAGTTTACACTGATTGTTTCTCTGATACAGCCATCTAGATTTAATTCAGAAGTGGCATGCCTAAGTTTACATACTTTTTCTATGTTGAACAATATTGCTGGCAATAAAGTTTGTTTGGTCATTTCATTTTCCCAATGTTTAAACACTCTATACCAACAGAACATAAGAAAAAAGTGGTGTGAAAGCCTGTCTTCTGTACTTATGAAAAGCCCTTACAAATCAACCCTTGTGCTAAGGTATATTATATATTATGTCAGTCTCTCACACCATATGGTTTGTTTTGCAATGTTAATGTCAGACTAAAATATGTGAAACCTAGTCCCAAATCAACTTTTACCCTCCAAGGCTTACTTGGGGAACTGCTCAAAAAAATTTTATCATCTGATTATACCAGAAATGTCCATTGCTTAGGTGTTACATATTTTTTTGAGTAAAGTATGCTTGTTTCAATTATTAATTCATTTTTGAAAACTGTTAATTGGAATAGGAAACTGTTGTCAGGTGAAATTCTATGGAAGAGAAAGTAATTTGTTTAAGATGATAATTAGTTAAAATAGAAACCAATTAAATATGGTAGGATAATATTATAACTCAAGATACATTACATCTTAGACAAAAATTGGCACATTTTCCTGAATATTTAATAATTAGGTATATCAATTTTTTTCTTTCTAGTCACAACTTATTACATCTATTTAGATTAAATTTCACAAATATATGCCAAAATATTAATATTAGGTAAAAAAAAATGATTGGCATTAACTATCTTGATCTCTGCTTTACATGATGCCTCATCAGAAGCAAATACCCCACCCCAACCACTTCAAAAATGCTCTCAGGGTGGGGTATAACAATCAGGGACAATGACAACCGATAATATTACTCCTACCCCTGTCTGATTGGGGCATACAAACAGGAGGAAAAATATTGTATGCTGAAAATTGCCATTAACAACAACAACAAAATAAAACAACAAATCAGTGAGATATACTTCACAATCATATCTGAATGGACAATAAAACAAAAAGCCAAAATAAACTTACATAACCATCTTTAATATGAAACAATTTATTTATATTGGTCTTAAATCAAACAAATGATATAAGTTACTATATAACAACATGGAAGAGGAGTGAAAACTAACATAACTTAAGTCCTATACAAAAGGTGATAGAGTATTTACAATGTTAAATAAATTTACTTAGTGAAAGTTTCAGGCACATCCACTTGTATTAATGTTCTTGAAGAATGATATAATTTTAAAACATTAACAGCTCAAAGATTTTTCAAAAACTGATGCAATCTTCAGTGAAAGTTTGGCATTTTCTAATATGGAACATGCAAAATGTAAAAACATGGGAGGACAGGGCAAGATGTTTGTTTAATTTAAAACTCTGTAAAATAATAGATCTTTAAACCTACTACATAGTAAAGCAAATGTTTCACTTAATAAGCCACTGGGACACGAGTGTAATGCAAGGACACGAGTGTAATGCAAAAAGTTCACAATACACCCATCCTATGATCTTGGTTGGTTGGCTGGTTGTTGTGGGGCTTAACACCATTTTTCAGCACATGATAGGCTATACATGGTGGCCAGTATTAATGATAAAGGAAGAAACCGGAAATCCGCAGAAAGAACCACCAACCCAGGAGAAGCTACTGGCAAGCTTTCTCACAAATTCACATTCACCGAATCTTAGACTTGAACACAGACATAGGCGAGATGGTAGTGCTCATAAATAGAGTGCTTTGGACCACTCGGCCACTCAGGGCCCCTCCTATGATCTTGTATCCTACTAATAACCTTGACCATTGAGGTCGGGACATGCATATAATGTATGGTAATGTGTGGACTTGGGTACAGTTTCTTCAAAATATTTGCATGGATTAAAAAGAGGCAACAGATTAAAATGATGATATATATCTGGGAAAAAATCTTTAAAGTATATTTAGTTTCTCAAAACTTATACTTCATATACAGATACAGATACCCTTGATGTGACCTTGACATTGAGCCAGAGGATGTAACTATGGTGCACAAAACACCATATATATATATATATATATATATATATATATATATATATATATATATATATATATATATATATATAAATATATATATATATATATATATATATATATATATATATATATATATATATATATATATATATATAACTGGAAAAAAAATCATTCAAGTATCTTTAGTTCTCTAAGCTTATATTTCGGAAAAGGATATAGGTCACAGAATTGCGCTTGATGTTACCTTGACCTTGAGGGAGAGTATGTAACTATGATGCACAAAACACCAATTCCCGATCATGTTTATTGGGGAAAAATTCATTTAAGTATCTTCAGTTCTCCAAGTTTATATTTAAGAAAAGGATGTGGATGTAGGTCACAAAGTTACAATTTTCCATTGTTGTGACCTTGAATCTGAGGGAGGTGTGGCTAATAGAACTCATTTTATAGATGTCACAGAATTACATTTTCCAAAAGTCATGACCTTGACTTTGGCATAGGAACTGGCTATATGTGATATACCATCAACTCATCATATATGTTTTGGCAAACATTTCATGAAAATCTCTCAAAAAGTTACAAATTTATGTTATGTACAAGCAAATGTTAACATATGCATGACTGGATGAATTCATAATACACCCAATGTAAAAGCTATTAAACCTGAAAAAAATTCATTTCGTAGGGCCTTTAAACACTATCATGACAGTAGTATATAATTATAATGAGTCCCATACATGATGCAATGTAATGAGAGCTGATATAAGTTGGTAGATTTAAATATTTTAAAGTATGGATGATATTGGACAAAGTTTCACACAAGGAGAATCTTTGCCATGTTAAGTAAACATTAAGGCCTGAACTTGTATGTAAAGCCTGGAATTGTGTGTAAAGCTCATGTTGAGCAAACATGAAGTCCTAGACCTGTATATAAGGCCTAGACTTGTACATAATACCTGGATCTGTATGTAAGGCCTAGACCTGTATGTAAGGCCTGGAATTGTGTGTAAAGCTCATGTTGAGCAAAAATGAAGGCCAAGACCTGTATATAAGGCCTGGACTTGTACATAATACATGGATCTGTATGTAAGGCCTAGACCTGTATGTAAGGCCCATGATCAAAGGACTGCTATAAAACATGATCTAGACCCCAAGGTCAAAAGGTTGAGAGAGCATGGTGCAAAATGAATTGTCTTAACTTCATAATAATTCATCCAACGTATGAAGTATACCCATGAAGAAGTTCAGAAAAATATAAGCAAATTAATATACTTTATTTTACACATGGCAGTGAAATACTGGATATTCCAAGAAAATTAACTTGTAACTCACTTGAGTGAAACATGATCAATAATTTCATTGCTATATCAGTAACAAGATAATTATGACATTTAAAGTTATGTGTGTGTGTGTGTGTGTGAGAGAGAGATTTTGATTTTTAACGTAGCTTTAATAATTTTTCAGTCATATTGCTATGATGTCTGCAGTGTGGTGATGTCTAGCACTGGGGCATCATGCCACAGACATGTAGCATGATGTCCCACCCAGTCACATTATACTGACACCAGGCCAAACAGTCCTAACACTAACCTCTTAAAGCTGAGCGTCAAGCAAGGCAGCTGTTAGTACCATTTTTTAAAGTCTTTGGTATGACACGGCCGGGGTTCAAACCCACGACATCCTGCATCTGTTGCAGACGCTCTAACCACTAGGCCACCGGAGCAGTACATTCAAAGTTATTCTTAGATACTTTTGTGACCATAAGGTAAATATGGTGGCCTCCCATAAAAAATGGCACAAGTTCCAATTCAACATGACACAAATTATTTTTTCTTATTGTGTCATTTGAATTGTGAAGAATTTTTAAACTGTTTTTATTTTTATATGAAAATCACAAAATACAGTAGAATAGAAATGCTATTACCGCTGACATTTTCACCCATTCAAGGAAATATTTGTTATTCACTTGTTTCAAGCAAAGATACTCTATTTAACCAAACTTTTAATGTAATATTTCTAAGATTGTGACCTTGACTACAAGGTCAAATTGGTCAGCATGCATGTAGCAAAATTAAATGTCTTGGCTTCATAATATATTTTATCCTAAGCATGATGAAAATCCATCATGAAGTTTAGGAAATATAAGTGAATTCAAAATTTTAATCAGAATGATAATGCAAAGTTCCCAAAACTGTGACTTTCATATGTAAGGTCAAAGGGGTGAGAAAGCATGCTGTATAATAAATTGTTTCAGTGTCATTATGATTAATGTCAAGTATTATTGAAATCCATCACAGGTTTGAGGAAATCTAAGCAAATGTAAAAACTTTACCCAGAAACATCCACAACTGGGACACTGACTCCAATGTCACATGTCATAAAATGAATTGTTTTCACTTCATAACAGTTGAAGCAAAGCACGTAGAAAATTTACCAAAGGATTTAGAATATTCACCAAATGGAAAAACTTTACCCAAAATCCTCACACCAATTTTCAGTCACTGGAACCTCACATCCAAGGTCACAAGAATGAGCAATTGCCACAGAAGGAATTGTTCATGCCAAGTATGTTGAGAATTTTCAAGGAAATATAAATATGAAAGCAACTTAGTCCTAAACAATCTTTTGATACTGTCACTGCAGCTAACACTAGCAGAGAAGTTCATATGTTTTGCTTCAAACATGGGGTCATAATAAAACTAATACCCTTAATCACCCTAAAGATTTTAGTACTATTGAACAAATTATTTTAAAATAAAAACAAAGGTCTCAACAAGCATTGGCAATATTAGCTCTCAAACTCACACTATTAATTCAGGGCTGTTTCATATCCTATCCTCCTTACTATATATGTAACCTCTCTACCATTAAATAATAAATCCACAAATACAGATTTGTATGCAGCTGATGCAATATTGTATACATCTAGTTTCGACACTGAAGTTATCCTAAATGATTAGACCAAGTCTTTATCAGAATTCAAAATTGGACAACAAAATAGGATGGTAATTAATGAAGATAAATCAAAATGTATGATTTTAGGGACATCACAAAAGCTATACAAGTCAGGGAACCAGAACTATCTCTTGCAATAAATAATCATCCATCAGAAAATGTCAAACATAAAAAGCCTGTAAGTGTGTCTGTAGATAATCATTTACAATGTGATGACCATATTGATAAGCTTTGTAAAACAGTCATCCAAAATTGCCTTCTCAGCAGAATCAAGAAATATTTACCTATAGAAACTTGCAATACATGCTATAATTCATAATTTCTTCCAACTTAATTTGTTTAGCTGTATAGGTAAACGGCCAAATCAAGATTTACAAGCTTTCATAAATGGGCAGCATGCATTATTTTACATACATCTATTGATCACTCATCAAAAGAAGTTCACAGTAAATGAAAGGGTATATTTTCAAAAGGCAGTAATTTTGCATAAATGTCTACATGGAACTGTACCTGAGTATCTTCAGGATTAATTTAGGCTTTTTTCATCATATTACCAGTTAAAAATCAACATCACATAGAAACCTTCAAGCACCAAAACCAAGAACAGAGCAATTTAAAAAAGTTTCCAATAATCTCATAGTTATGTGGAGCAAGCTTCCATTGCATGTAAAATCTGCTGAAAACTATTAAGAGAGATTGTACCATGAGTATGTATTCATTTTTAATAGATTACACTGAAATTTAGTATTTTAATACTAACACATTCAAATGAATAGTAATTACTATTATCTTTTGTGTAATGCACATTGTTTTACTCTTCTCATGAGGACCTCAAGGGAGAAAAGTCCTTGACTAAATGAGTCAACATTAATAAAAGTATTATTGTTATTATTATATACAAAAAATCTAAAAAGGGATCAAGTACATCTCATTAACCTGTCAAATCAGCAAATCCCTCATAAATTAACTCCACTGCAAAAAGAAACCACTGGGTAACTATGATCAACCTATTTGGAGATAACACTTGTGAAATTTAGATACAAAAAAGTTTATCAAAGTGTAACAAGACATTTTTTTAATGATTTGTTATATAATTCTTCTCATGCTGTTTCATCTGCTAAAGATTGATTATTTTTCTAAGACATTATTTATAAGAGGAAACTTAAATAAGTACAGAATGAAATATGGGTTATCATGATCTAATTTCAGGTCAGTGATATGTTACTCATCTAGTCCTCAAGGCTCATGACTCTCCTACAACAGTGAGCTATGATGCGATTCTAACAATCTGAGAATGAAAGATTGATTTGCGTAAGATATGAGGATCTCTGTTCTGCTTTAAGATGAAACCCAGACAAACTTATGAATTAAATGCTAACACCTTGATTATAATCAATTCACACTGCAAACAACACAAATTCTGATCATCACATAATGGGCCGACAGTCAGGGTCTGTGTTGTTTTGTTCTACCAATTACTCCTAACAGAATTGCATGGACACTAAGCCTGCTGGCACATAATGTGACAGTAAATTTAGATCCGTGTAGATGGCAGCTGGGCTTGATTTATAAATAAGTATATATAATACCCTTCCATTATTACAAAGAAAAAGATTAAAGAACAGCAAGAACCTGCTTCCAGGCTCTAACCAGTCAATGCAGACACATCATGTCTGCCAACAAAAGTTCTTAACTTTCATATAGCAATTGTGCTAAAAATATATTTGGTTTATTTATCATTAAAAACAATTATTGAAAGGTAAATTGGTTGACAAAGTTTAGCAGATATATATTACCTGAAGTTTTCAGTAACCTTCCACAATGAACAAAAATAAATGTAGTGCCATCAACAACAAAAGCCATTTTTTATGATTAAAATGAGAAAAAGAGTTTAATGCCAAGTGAACCGAAATAAACAAGATATCAGTGTCTTTTTTTTCTCTCTGTGACATAATTTTTGCCTGCTGCATCAATGGATAATAGAGATAATGTTCAAAGGGAGGTAAATCATGCATGCACTTTAAGCTATCTTATTTTGGTTAAGACTTCATTTTGTACCTTGCTGGCTTTAAATAAGGATTAAAACACTTATCTACATGTTGTTAGATTAACTAATTAAACAAATTTCTACATACAGTATATGCAAGTACACAAGTTTTTTGTTCATAGGTTGCAACTTGGTTTAACATTTCAATAAAATGTCATGTCATCTGGTTTTAAAAGGCATTGCAATTATTCATTTGATGTATTAGTATGAATGGCATAAAAAAATTAATAAGTTTCTTTACAAGGGCTTTAATTATTTCATACTCATCTTTTTTCTTTAATCTGGTTGTAATGCATATAATTCTCTCTTGAACAGTTTAAAGCTATCATTATGTCAATTTTACTGCACAAGAAATGATTAAATGATTGTCCAGAAGTTGGTATGACCCTGTACAGAGGGTCACCATTGAACAGTCATGTGATACTGTTGTCTGCATCATAGTTGGCAATCATCATTTTCTCCAAAACCAAATTATTAAATAGTTCTTTAAGAAATATAAAAACATTTTATAAAACCCAATAGAATGTTTCCAACAATTTACTAAGAGTCAATGATGGTAATTGGCTGGCACTAATGTACAAGGAGAAATCAATAGGAACATGGATAGTTTTGTTGTTACAAGCACTATTTCCATTAGGAGAAGTGGAATGCAAACTGATGTCATTAAGAGAGGAAAGAATAGCATTTAAACCAGAGTTGATAAGAAAATAGTACCAGTGTTTGACAGTGGTAATACATTAACAACATTTGGGATTACTCAACATGAAGAAAAATGTTATACACATTACATGAATTTAAATCTTGTAATTACAGACACAGAATTAGTTAAGTGACCTACTCTTGTCATTAAAATCAAATTCCAATCATCTATTAAAGCTTTACAAACCCAAGATAATGTCTAAACACCTGTATCATGAAACCTGGTATCTCACCTGCATCAATGCACTGATGTAACTTCCCTTAAACTCCTCACCCTGCCGGCATCTTACTAACAAATACATGTACTTCAGCTCAAGATTTTACCATTGTTGTGATCACTTAGCAGCTGGCAACAAAAAAGGTGTCCTAATAAGCTAAAGCACCTAAGAAATGAAAAACTGTCACATATGATTGACAGCTTGGAAGGAAACCCACATATAAATTAATGGACAGCTTGGAAGAAAACACACACAAATTAATGGACAGCTTGGAAGAAAACTCACACACAAATTAATGGACAGCTTGGAAGAAAACATGCACAAATTAATGGACAGCTAGGAAGAAAACTCACACATAAATTAATGGACAGCTTGGAAGAAAAAAAACAATGAATGGACAGCTTGGAAGAAAATTCACACACAAATTAATGGACAGCTTGGAAGAAAATTCACACACTAATGGACAGCTTAGAAGAAACAACCAATGAATGGACAGCTTGGAAGAAAACTCACACATAAATTAATGGACAGCTTGGAAGAAAAAACCAATTAATGGACAGCTTGGAAAAAAATTCACACATAAATTAATGGACAGATTGGAAGAAAACTCACACATAAATTAATGGACAGCTTGGAAGAAAACTCGTACATAAATTAATGGACTGCTTGGAAGAAAAAACCAATGAATGGGCAGCTTGGAAGAAAACTCACACATAAATTAATAGACAGTTTGGAAGAAAACTTGCACATAAATTAATGGATTGCTTAGAAGAAAACTTGCACATAAATGAATGTACTGCTTGG